ATTTATATACCAACATTTACACTACTGAAATCACCTGTCCGCATTTGTTTTTATAACTTTAATGTTCGTGCAAGTTAACGACGTAAAATATCAACAGTAATTAAAAACGCAAACGCCCGAGAATTGATGTTTGCGCTCGTTTATTAAGAAAAAGAACCAGACCCGCTGAGCGTTTTATTAATTTGAATAATATTATATTGTGTTTGACGCTCGGAGTTGGGATTAATCAAAAAATCGAGTTTAACGGACGATTTAAATATGTTGATGGCATTTAAAATACTATTAAAGATAATTATTAATGTGCTATTATTATTGGTTATTTATACTTCGATAACATGTAAGCTAAGGTAACTATTATAGATAACAATTTGTCTGTACTGTATTTATTGTTCTACCCAAATGTGTGTAGAACAATAAATTCTACACACATTTGGGTAAAACACTTTTGACGGTTTAAAACGAGAAATTTATTAGGTTTACTTATTTTTAATTTATCTTGACTACGACCCGACGTGTCGGATGCTTCGCAGCGCTGTGATCACAGAGGGTCAGATATTGGAGTATCCCTAATGTTAAAGTGAAATCTACTACGCTAGCGCCATTTTTTTCTCATAATCGGCATTTGCAGAAAATAACTTTAACTAATATAGTTCGCTTTTAAAACAGTTAAAATTGTTTTACTCATATAATATTTTTTGTAAGACGTAACATGGATTTGAAGTTTTAAAATAAATAACAAATATAACAGATGTTACAATAAATTTAAACGAAACATTTATGTTTTATTTCGGAAGTTTATTCTTTAAATATACTTTTAATTACAGTTGATACGGTACTCTTTCCACGTAGTTTTAACCGTATTCATTACGTTAATAAACAGCCAAAGAGCCGCTCATAAATCATCGAGAACATTCGTCATTAGTTTTGGACAAGATTTACATATAGCCATTAATTAAACGTATTTTCCGAAACGCCTTACGCATATACAAAAGAATTCACTTTTCACGCACTTCATATTTCAAATAAATGAAATGTAACACCCTAGTCACTTAGGTTATGGTCTACTCCAAAAGCTTTTACAGAATCAGAGCATTTTCAATCATTGGAAGGTTTTACAGCTGTCAGGTCTGTCATAGCAGAGACGACCTACCAGGTTATATCAACGCCAGATGACGTCTAAAAACTACCACCATGAAATTAGTAATGATGACCAGATATAATGACTGAACGTATTACCCAGGCGCAGGTGTGATAACATACTCCGAACATATATTTCCCATATTAGTTCGGCTTCCAAGATATGCAGGCATAGTCCAAGACTCCAACCATAAATTTCGTGATCTACACAAAATCCGGCTAAAATATTTTTTAAGAAATTACAGCTACATATTTTAGCCCGGGCCGTTTATGGTAACCAACTAACCAAAAGTGACCAAGGGTCCAAGACCAAGAGTGCTCCAAAGAGGACATAGGCCTCGGCTTGGACCACTGTTATAGTAGGCCTACATTTATAGGAGACGGTAGCCTAACAGGCGGTATATCGTAACTAGCATATAAATGTCAACGCGCCTCCAACACGCTTCGATTTGTACTTCGAAATAACAAATGGCTGTTTCATTTATGTTTTATGATAATGTTGCAATTTCGCAAAACAGTTGACCTGCATATCGTTGCTTTGTTGCATTATCTACGATAGTCAATCAATGTTGAATTTATAAGCGCTAAACTGCCTTATAATGCCGTAATTAAATGCGCCGAGTTACCCGTTTACAAGGCTCTTGAACGCCGCAGTTATTTTCGTAATTCCAACACAGGTAGTTGATTAATTCGTCGGTTTCATGGAGTTTTTGTTCCACAATTAGGCGCGATCCGCACGCGCGCGAGCCGTTTGCGTGGTCAATAACTTGATAAGTATAACCGAGTGACCTACGCCACTTCCGGGTTTATTAATTTATTGCTTATTAGGCAGCTTTTTAGGTTAGTGACGCGAACAAAAACACAGAATATTAAATTTCAGAGCTTAAAACGTTAACTTTTATTATGATAGAGTAGAACAGACACGCATACGGCTCCCTTGATGGAAGGTGAAATAAGCCAGCCATAACATCCAAATAAGATGTGCTGCCGAGCTATTTTGGCTTTGGATATTCTGAAATCCACAGACTGAAACAATAATCAGCAAATTCACGACTTTATCATTTGTGGACGGTGGTTCGTGACCCGGACGAAATTTCATTTGCCAGACAACGTCCAATAAAAAAAATATATATTAGAAATATGTGGTGGGAGCGTTAATTATTATTAGCCATACTATTGTTAGACAAACGACCCCATAAAAACTAAAGGATTATTTTTTTAAATACGAATCGACATTTCGACTGCTAAGTTAATGAGAGCTTTCCTATATAAGTATAATACCCATATAGGAACTAAATTATAAATTGAAAAAGTTTAGAAAAGATTTGCCAAACCGATCACATGTACGGGAACTATAATAATAATATTAGTAGTTTAAATTTACGATGCGTCAGAGTTTGCATGCGCGACACACACTTCGATCAGAATATCTAAACCCTAACTAAAAATAGTCCCTCTATCATAAAAAATAGTTCCGTTAGACATGGTACACTTAGTCCTACAATTTTTTCCATCCTTCCGATGCTTAGACACTAAGAATTGTCTCATTGCGTGTCCCACATTAAATATTCTAATGAAGACTGCATTAACAATTTTAAGACATTACAATGTAGAGGCATTTCAATTAAGTAAATTTAATTTGTTATTGCGCCATAACCGTGGATAATATGGCTATCAGTGTTGGCATTATGGAAAAGCTAATTAGGGCTAGCTGCGTTTTTCGTCAGAGTTGGTCCATCCATCACGGAACCACGCCCAGCCGGTTCCATTGACTGCCTTCTGGTTTCTCATACGGTTTTCTACTCAAAAATATTATCTATTAAGTTTTTACAACTGTACTAATTATAGCCCCTAGATATATGTAACAAAAACTGTACGACATCTAGGAATGCAATAATATGGATTAATGCAATTGCAAATTTAATTAATATTAACGAAATGCAAAAACACATTATTGTCTAAGACTAACTATAAAGCAACATATATATATCTCTCTCTCTACGTAGATTGTATCATCATGAGTACGTTACGATCGATTAGAGCACTGAAGTTTGACCTTACTTGTCTATAAACTTAATAGATCTTAATAGACACAGAAATAACCTACATTAGGAAAACATGATGTTACACAGCCTTGTCAATTATTTGCTTATACGCCGATGTGTCAATAAAACACGCATAACAGATAACAAAATAACACCTTAAATAAAGAATATCGTTGAATATAAATAATTCATACAGCCGGACAGGAACAAAAACTTTATCTAAAGACATTATTGTAAACAAACGGATGTTCAGCTAAATCAATTAATAGTAATACAGTGATAATATCGCGTCATTTTGTTAACTAGTCCTTTTAAAAGTACAAACCGGTTAAGGTGCGTACACACTACAGGCACCGCTATATTGACTTACTTGGCCACTGTATTGAATAGCACGATTAGAAATAGGTACTTTAATGCGACACTATGATAATCTCAAAAATTGTGTAATGTGTTAATACAATCTAATGTAAATACAAATTAAGTTATGTTCAATTACTACAATTTATTAAATGAAAATATGGTTTACAATATAACAATACTACAGACTACATATTGGCGCGCAATTATACTGATTACATTATGTAAATTAATGTGTAACTCTGTGGTTCGACCCGTAAAAAATCGTGTGATTTTTGTGAATTACAGACTATACAAAATATACTGTTCATTTTGTATAGTCTGTGACGAGCCTTACGTTAAATGCAGTGTGTGCTAAGGATCTGTGTATACTGGGCGTGTAGTTGACATTTGCATCGTCGTGGCACCTGCATATAGTCTGTGGTATAACGCTATAGGTGAGGCCGTGAGCCGGCTGTCGCAGCGCGACATGTGCGACTAATTTGTTGGCAACAACGCACTCATTACCTTAGCCCGCGACGCCTGAGGTGTCGGCGACACCAGTAATTTCACTAGTAATTCTATAAAATTGCCACACGCATACGGAAGCCGTCCATGAGATATCTCAGTGTCGTTTATGTAACCACGATGCAAATTCATCCGTATTTATATCAAGCATACGTTTTTATAACCGTTCATTATTCTAAGATCTTGGAAAAGTAACTACTTCTGCCGTTTATCTCATTTAATTTTTGTAATTTCAAATTTTTACTAGGATGTACATATGCATAAGAGAAGTTAGATGTGTGATTTCAACACAACACTTTTAACGGTTGAAAACGCGAAAAGTTTGGATAAAATATTTTTAGGTACGACCCGATGTTTCGGAAGCTATGCCGCGGCAAGGGTCAGGTCAGTCGACAGTTAAATATAGTAAAACTAATACATTTTGCGTTTTAAATTGTTTAAACTGTTTTTACAATGTGTAGGTGCTACTCGGGTAAACTGACGTTTTACTTAAAGTACCTATACGTTTTTGCAAGCTAGCTAATAGACGTTATAAAGTCCATTTACAAAGACAATTAGAAACCAATTATAGTTTTTTATGCAATATGATAGATATATCCTGACAAGCACAGGATAATAAGTACTTATTGAGGTAGGGGATCGGGGAATGCCTACGTCATAATACGCAATATCATTATTATTGTAATTCATTGAATGCCATACGATAAAAGGGTAACTTTTTCTGATGCCTCCCTCTTGGAATGTTAATGACATCAGAGTTCACTTACAAATATACATACCTACTTTATTTGCAAAAGCCGTAAACATAATTAATCGTAATTAGTTGTATAATTTCTCACTACCTTGCAAGAGACGTCTTTATAAAATAACATAAAGGATAAGCTGTTGTTTGTTCTCGAATTCTCTCACCTAAAATAGTCTTTCAAGTGCTACAGCTTATGTGGAAAAGCATACCTGTCCATTCTTATCCATTTCGTTGTTGGTGAGCTTGACCTTCTCGAAGGAGACGACCTGCTTGCGAAGCTGGTCTCCCGAGAAGGGCGAGTCGGGGTGTGGGTAGAGGCGCGCGGGCGCTGGGGGGTCCGCCTTGCCGGCGACCAGCCACGAGGAGCGGTGGTACGCGTAGCGGTAGCGCTTACCGTCCACCGGGACCACGTCCAGCAGCACCGCGTACCGAGCCTCCGCGCGGCACCCGGCGAACGACACGCGAACAGTTGGGAACATGCGTCTGAAACAAAAAGATATAACCTTTAAATAGTCCTATTAACGTATGTAAACAATGTTTGATCTACATAAAATACAAAAAAAAACTTGAAATTACTAAATCAATAATCAAAATCCTGTGAAGAAAAAAAAAGAACAAAACTCAACATTGAAAAAAATATATTTCGTGGTGTTTAATGTTAATAAAAAAATAATGGAATAAATTGGTCGATTTCTTTATAAGGCTAAACCGTTAATATGTTAAAAGAGCACATGTTGTTCTAAAACACTAATGTATCTCAAAAAACTACTAAAGACTCGTCAGCGAACGGTGACTTGTATAATTACAGGGTGAAACGCGAACTAGGAAATCAAACAAATATGATGTATTCGATTTTAATGCACCCCTAAATGGACCGAAGCGCTTCCTGCCGGCCCGAGGCGATAACATCTCGACATGACTTATTTATAACGTAACCATTATTTTTTTATTCTAAACGGCCTCCTTACGATTTCGGTGGTTAAACAAGCAATCATAGATAAGATAATGCTCCTAATTTGTTCGTCTATAATCAGACGTGGGTGCATTGTGGTTGCTATTCTTACCGACGATAAAACTCACGTGGCGTATAATAAAAAGCTGGAGTGAAAGCAAGAAATATTAGCGTCTATAAAACACGATGCAGTGTCAACCTTCCAATAAGTGTAATAATAAATGCGAGAAAACTATAAAATTCTCAGAGGCAGAACCTTAACGCGACGATAAGGCACGGTGTATTGTTAGTATCGTTGAGGTGAGCGGTCATAAATAAATCGTATTAAGGTGTAGAGATGGGCAAATTCGGTTTACACGTGGGTTAACCGTATTATGTGGTAAGCCGAATATTCTCGCTGTTATTAAAAAATATATTATTATAGAGTATTTTGTAAGAAGGAACAAAAGAGTAAAAGTATCAAATATAAGGGTAGGTAATTTAGTGGCTTTATGTATGAACAAAACTAAAACATCCGGATAACTTAATACTTTCTATCTTAACTAAAAGTTAATAAATTGATATTCCAATTTAAATAACACATTTTAACGGTGTAAAACCCGCAATATAGTTAGGGCCCGACGTTTCAACTGCTTTGCAGCAGCGAAAAGACCTCTCTCAGTGACCACGATTTAATAAAAATTATTGTCAAATAAGTTTAACGAATATATTTCGCGTTTCAAACGGTAAAAGTATTTTTATTTAAATGTGTACTACCCGCGTAAACTAGACAGTAACTCAATTTATTCACTGAAGCGTGAATATTCGGCTACGGTACAATCGGATCGACGCCATCTCTCGGGGTGTTTTGAACGTTGATCCGTATCGTTGGCGCTGGAGATGCGACCGTCGACAATAAGTCGCTGTCAGGCGCGTTTATGAGTGTGTCGTTAAGCGTTGTCGTGGGCATGTGCCACCCAGCGCGGCCCTCTAATGAGCTACATCCATCATTGCGATCGATCGCGATTTGAATACCACAAACAATCCGAGCCTTTGATTAAGTGAACTGCAACGGGGCTCTTCCAATCAACGTCAGCTGAAGCATATATACATGATTGTTTAGCTGCAGACTTCTTCGTAACGTAATTCAAAACAAAGGGTAAAAATCTGACACGAACACAAAAATAAAGTTTTTTAGCAAGCGAGACTAGGTAACCGAGTTAATTAGAATTTAGAATTTATATACAGAGGCAGTTTAATTATTAATTATATTTGTAATTTAGACAAATAAATTTTAGTATCAAAATAAGAATACTTCAATATCACCGTTTCGTCATCGTTACTAATGTTACTCCATTTTTTGTAACTCAAGTCAAAAACATTAAGGATTACTTAGGACGAAAACCAGTAGTTAAAAATAATTACCATACTTGCAGCATTATCTGTAGTTTACGCGAGTAAAATATGTTAAAAAAATAACTTTTTACTGGTATAAAATGCGCTATATATTTGTTAACTTATATGACAGACTGTAAATGTAACAACGCAGAGGTCGATTCCCTACGTACAAGTAAAAACAAATGAGCATATAAATAACGTTCAAAGTAATATTGTTTTCATTAAGCAATTAGCCTTAGCCAGCAGTAAAATAAAAAATACACATTTTACGGATGTTAAAGTCAATAAACCTGTTGTCAGTCGACCACGAGTCTACTTTGTAATAATATCATTAACATAATATATTAATAAAAACGCTACATGATTTCTGCAGATAAGCGTTATAAATAACTTTTAACTACGATATCAGTGTTGCCAAATAACGCGAATACAGGCGTTTTTTGTTCAAAACAAGGAACTATTTTGAGTAACAAAGTTAGAAATAATGTATTATTCGTATTTCTAGTGTTTTAATAGATTTCATCGTTCAATCCTACTAATATTATAAACGTGAAAGTTTGTATGTTTGTTAGTCTTTCACACAAAAGCTACTTAATGGAATTTATTTAAACTTTCCCGTATAAATGTAGCTTATACATCAGAATAACACAGGCTACAATTTATAAAGATATTGTGTGAGCTGTACAAAATATGACATTGTGTCAAGTAACTAGAAAAAACCTACCTTACCCTTCTCTTTTCCTTTCTCTTCTTATGTTCAAATATTGTCAAGCAGTTATATTTTTCAAATGCGACTCAAATAATATTTATGTCATAATGTCAACGATCAACGTCATTCTTTTCTAGGCCACGTTAATATAAGCTACTCCAAATAGTAATTCTGCGTTGACGAAATCGCGGGCACCAGCTAGTCATTTATAATGTTGCTTGGGTTGCCTGGAAGAGATCGCTTGTTAGCGATAAGGCCGCCTATTGCACTCCATATTTTTAGTATTTAAGTCTGATTTGTATTTTTGTTAATTTCTTCGTGCCATAGTGTTAATAAATAAATAATGTTAATCTCATTTTCTAACGATTATGCAGTTTAGCGGAAAGGACAAGTATTCATTTGTTAGAAGGTGGCACTACCATATATAGACAGTATACAGCATTATAGCAGCAATTAAGATATGTTGTCGTCTTATATTGCCTTTGGACATTGGGAATCCACTGACAAAAAACCGAAATGAAAATAACACTTTACCTCTTGTTAGGTGTGTTAAGATAAATTAAAAAGTCGAAAGACATAATTAAAACGTCGCAACTGTTTGCAAGTAATCTGTGCCCGCGTGAGTACAGTCTGCAGTTGGCAAATGGATGATCAAGATAATTGACCTTAACAATAAAGTGAACTCAATAAAAATTATTCGAGTGTAACAGTCGAGTATAAGTAATTACAGTATTTAAAAAGGTGCTTACACGAATAGCGCGATTAATAATTACGCTAACGGACAAGACTCGGGCTAAATAAAATTGCCCATAAAAGCTCGCATGCATTGCGCCTAAACAAAAGCTATTTGCATAATATGTTTTTCAATATTTGTGAAAGAAACCGCAAGTTGAGACAAAATGACACCCGTAATTGACAGTACTTGGGTCAAAATTATACGCAACCGCTTCCGGGGAATGTGGACAAATTGGAACTTTTTGTGGACAAAGGGGAAATGAGGAACACGACTCTTGTTAAGTTGATATTGGTAAGGGTGTGTTAAGTTATTATATCTACTACATAAAACAACTACTTCTACGGTTATTTTAAAATAAATATTCCTTCTACTTTAGTTAAAAAAATACTACCCTACCGACATACATGTTTAGGGGGGCAATTCTCAACAAGTTACAAAAGGTGAAGCTAACCTCTTTTGAATCGTAAGAAATGTTCAAACTAAAAATATGTATCATTTCTTATTTAAAAAGTATGAAGTGGGTATTTTAGTGAGTGTTTGTTACTAATTAGAAATTATTAAAAAAGTTAAAATTTCATATTATATGTTCAGTGAAAAGCCTGTACAATATTAAGTAAATTTATAAAATAGAATCTTAGCTAGCAACATTAAGTCTTATTAATTTGTTCATTCTTACGACGTACATGAGTTATGTATCACTATTTAAGAATTGACCTCCAGTTAAATTGAAACATTCACAGGAAGTCACTGATGACAATATTATAAAGGAGAATCGTTAAAGAGCAACTTGTACAGCGTATTACTTGTAAAAGCAATAAATAAATACTCGACTTGGAATATCCCCTAACGCTGATAAAGTACTGCGAATATATTCATTTATTTTACACCAGACGATTATATAACGCAGTTACATGGCGTATGTTAGAAGCATGACTGGTTTTCATAAAATGTCATCCACTTTGCGGACAGAACTCGCACGCAACTCGATACTCGGTTCACGTTTACGATCTTCCCATTTACACTTAATAATGAAACGGCTGTGACCTTTCGATAGGATAATTACACATCTAGTAATGATAGTAAAATTAAAACTGGTAATGTGAATCTATACATATACACAACGGGTAACGTACGGCCTAAATCACTAGCCTGAGAGGTGTAGGATTCTAATAAGATTATTCGGGTATGTTTTCCAAATTCATAGCCCAAAAAAAGAATCTAAAATACAATTAGAGGAAAATGTAATTCTTGTTTTTCTTTTCTTGATAACTGTATGTGTTAGTGTGAATATTGGCGATCTAAATAAAACACTAACGGTTTAAAACGCGACATATATTTGGTAAACTTATTTGAGAATTATTTTTAACTACGGCCCGACGATTCAGATTCTTCTCAGCAGCCGTGGTCACGGGGAGACGGGCGACATTGGCGATCGTTCAATTTGAATTGTAAAAAAAAGAAACTCGCAGATGTAAAATTAGTTTTAAATGGCTTATGTAGAAGATTCATCGAAATAAATGTCGCAAACGCACCTAGAACTTTAAATGTATGTACATGATAATTTAATTGGGAATTAGTGTCAAATAGTAGCACGTGCGGTGTGTCAACTGTGTCAATCTCGAATCACATTACATCGCCACTCGCTAGTCGCCACGCGGCCGCACATGATACAAGACTAATCTTACTATTCTTGGTAAGTATCGAATTTCGTGTAATCAATAAACTAAGACAGATAGAGCTTTTGAGTAACCGGCTGGTAACATTTGTATTATAACTACACTGGCCTGGGCTACATACCACCGTCCACAGATGAGGAAGCTATGAAGTTAAATCGTGTTTTGTTTTCAGTGTATTTCTAAATATCCAAAGCCAAAATTGGTCGACAGTGCATTTAGTTTACTACATGTCTTGGATCTTTCACTGCTTTTTTCCTTTACAATGGGCAAGTTATGTCCGTTTTACTAATCTATTTTATTTACAAGTGCAGTAAATTCGACTTCTGTGCCCTAATCGATAGAAATCATTATTTCTCCGGGATTCGAAGTTATGTGGGAAGTTTACTTAGCGGACATACTTAAAATATGGGGCTGCTAGAGGCAGAGTGGCCTAGTAACAAAAAACATGATTTTCCATACTTCCTTATTGATAAAATTAAATTTATCGTATTATATTATTTGTGTAAGAAATATATTTACAATTTTCATTACTATTATTATAAAAATATAAATAAGTCAAGTCATTAAATTGCAGTTCGGCTACCCTGGCTCTAGCGGCCTCATATAATAAACAGTCCTGAGGTTCCACAAATAAGCGATTTTATTTTTCGTCACGCGAACTGTCACTCCGTCGTTTGTCAACTTTAAACCTCAAATTGACACTTGACACGTTTCAACGTCTCTCGAGCAATCGTGCAAAATGAATGATATTTCATTTTAAACATTTCGCGTTCAGATCTCCATCGTCCCGGTGGCTAACCTTTTATTTCCGTAAACGAACAATAATTTACAACAAACTCGGCTTAGAAGGAATTTTGTAAGAAACTTTTTATTGATTGTGTGAGTGATAAGTAATTAATAAATTACTGTCTGTGGTTTACAGGACTAGTACACACTTAAATAAAACCCTGTAATGGTAAAAACACTATATATATTAGGTAAATTATGTGTATGTCTCCCCGTGACCACGACTGCTGCAAAGCATCCGAAACGTCGAGCCAAAGTTAAAAATCATTTTCAAATAAATTTAAAACGTTAGTGTTTTATTTAGGTGCATGTATCAATAAGTTGAAAGTTCGACGATGAGGTGTGGGACTCGGTAGGTCAATTGGTTAGAGCAACAGCACGGAAGGCAGACGATGCCGGTTCTGGCCCTGCCCGGGTCGCAAATTTTTTTTCAAATTCAATCTTTTATTGATTTTTAATCAATTTATATCGCGTTTAAAACCGTTAAAGTGTTTTATTTACACGTAATTAATATCTCGAAGAACTGTGAGACGAGGTTCTAAAGACAGGTAGGTTTTACGGTATCGTACATGAAAAATAATGGAGACATAAATATTGGGAAAAGTGACGTTTAGTTAACGACCTCCACGCAATGTGTGTAAGTATTAGGTAGCGGCACAGCGGGG